AGGAAAATAGAGAAAGAAATTTATTTTAAAAAATCCCCCACAACTGGTTCATTAATCTCTTATTAAAATTCTGTGCTGAGCGCTGGCAGGGAAGAAGTAAGGAAGACCCTGGGGAGGGAGTGGGGAGGAAGAATGGCATCCACGTGTTAGCATCTGCTGTGGGCATCCGTGGAGGGAGGCATGGATGGGTTTGCAGGGAAGACAGAGGGGGAGGGAAAAGAGCCTGCTCCATCACAGAGAGAGGGTGAGAGTCAGAACGGGGTGCAGAGCACTGCCTGTCTCTCTTGTTTGGCCGAGGAGGTAAACAGGAGGCAGAGAAGGAGTGAATTCCTGTGGCTGCACAGCAGGCTGATGGCAGGAGTCAGAATCTGAGCCATTCTCCTGAGGACTCTGGTTTCAAACTGCCTTGAATTTTAGAATGGAGACTTTTTTCTCACCTCTCCAACTGAACTTCAAGCTCATGAAAGGGACCAAAGATCAGGTCTTCAAGCCCTGCATGTTACCTCTGTAGTGTTTGGCAAGGTTGATTAACGCTACTGGTGATTGATTATCTTCACTGCTAGGCGCTGGAGGCTAGCTGGAGGCCAGAAGACCAACTTTGGATGAAACCACAGACAGGGGAAAACAGAGGTGGTGAAATCTCTGCCCAGGGGCATGGAGCAGACTGTCAATCCAGGGCTCTGGTGCCAGCCCTTGTTCCAGAACAAACTGGCAGGATGACCAGAGCCAATCCCTTTCTTTCCTCCTCCACATGAGGGTTGGATTTGGTGATTCTGGGATGGACAGTGTTTTGCTTAGGGTCACAAAGCCAGACCCTTCCTCTCCATAACACTTGGCCCCCTGTCCAAGTCGGTGGGCAAACCCTGGAGGCTGGAGTTGGTGCCTCTCAAGGTCTCAATTTCTGCAGCTTCACGAGCCCTCTCTACAAATTTCAGGCCTGGGGTCTGTACGTTCCCTACAGCACCCCTCCAGCAACCAGGGCTTGGGAGATGCCTGGCTCCCACTCTGGAATTCCAAAGTGGCTTTACCTCCCACTGCCAAGCACTGAGCCATCCTCAGAATGGATTCCAGTAAAGCTCATTTTCTGCCACCAAGTTTATAACACATCCCCACCTACTGGTCTTAAACATTAACAAGACTATGCGTGGCATAGAGATCCATGTGGCCAGAAAGAAGATGGGGGTGTGAGGGGTTGGCCAGCATCCTTCCTCAGAGCCGGCAAGGCCCTCACCCCCCAGGGACTCCATCCTCCCGCTGCATCCATCCTGAATCTCCAAAGGATGGAGAAGGAATCCCCAAGGCTTGGGGACCTTAGGGGGCGGCATAGGAGGGCGAAGGAAGTTGCTGGGCCGAGGACTGTAGAAGTGGGGACACCCACATTTGAACATACATTCAGAACACCAGGGGATACTGCATTCACATCCTGTGGAACTATGTTACCGCCAAGCACCAGATGCTGCATCCTGTATGTGCCACCCAAAGAGTGTGGTATGACTCTGCCCCTTGTACCTCCTTATACTCTCCCTGGTGTCTCTACTTGTCTCCTCCACCTCCCCCTTTCTGCCCCACACCACTGAGTTGCTTTCAACTGTACTAGTAAGGTGCCCAGAGTTTTCTTCCCACCCCATTCATTTTTTCTGAGCACCTGCTATATGCCAAACACGGAAGACTAGGGCACAAACAAAGAAGACGTGGCTCCTGACATGAATACAAGTATGTGGGATAAAGAGAGGGAAACACGTAAGTGTGCCCTGCACTCTCTTCACATACACTGCAGCTGGTGAGGCATGCTGGAAAGGCAACATGAGGGGCCACGTGACCACAGGAAAAAGAGCACTGACTTCTGTTGGGGAGGGTAAAGGCTGTTGTGAGAAACCAAAGGGTAATCTAGGTAGGCTTCCTGGAGGAGTTTGCAATGGGTTTCTTGGAGACAAGATATATAATAAAGAAGACATAAGGAAAAACTGTGGGTACAAAAGAAGAAAAGAGTAAGGGGAGAAGAACAACCAAAAGAAGTAAAGAGTAAGGGGAGAAGAACAACCTTTCCTAAGGTACATGGAGGGTGGAGGGACGGCAGTAACCTAGACGTTGAGAAGCAGATGAAGAGCAAAAAGAAAGGCCTGGGATGACAGGGGCAAAATGTATATCCTTGATCCTATAGGAGATGGACATAACCAGCTGCCCAACACATTCAACTACCATCCTGCTTCCCCAAAATCCTCTTCAAAGTAAAACTGGAACTGAAAAACCTTCCCAAAGACCGGCTGCAGAAGAATGGCCTTCGCAGATGTTCTCTGGCAGAAGCCTTGAATATGGGAGCAAAGAGACTGGTGATCGGCAGAACGGGGGCTCTGTTCACCCAATGGTGCTGATATCTGCCCACAGTTCCAACCAGACAGTGAGCGGAAAGGGATGGGCTAGGGCTACACTGCTTGGGAAGGTGGAGAACACAAGACAGGCAATCCAAGGTCACCCTGCCCGATGGCACCAGAGGCAGACAGAAACTCAGGCTGTTTGGCTCCCAATCTGGCTGTGTGGTCAGAATGGCCTCAGTAGCCTTTCCAGCCAGAAAAAACTGCAGCCCTCCAAACCTCCTGAAACACAGCGTCTTCGAAGAGCCCAGAAATTCCAACCAACTTGAAGTGAGACTGACTCACATAGGCTAAGAATCAGGCAGTCCTGGGGCAGGAAGGACCAGGGAAGATGGGTCTTGGGGGTGGGGCCGGGGGGTGCAAGAATGTCTGTGATTCTGGCCTTATACATCGGGGAGGTCCCCAAGCTTTCAGCATTTGAGGAAGTCTCTCATTGAAAACAGAGAGACTAAAACATAGAATGGTAAAGACTTTAGCACTCAGGGAAGGAGCTTGGCAAGGGAGCCACAGAGATGACCCATCTGGAGGGGGAAATGCCCACTCAGGGGTCATCCAGCCCGCTTCCACAGATATCTTCCTGTGATCCTCAGCTGTCCCTGGGCCCTGCAGATAATGGGCATGGGGCTAAGCACTGGCTGCATGGGGGACAGAAAATAAGCCCACGGTCCTGCCTGTACCACTCCAGGACTAGCTGGGCACCAAGATAACATCTAAGGAGAAAAGGAAGCTGGTTGCTAATGCTCTGAGACCAGAGCCAGGACAGCAAGGCCCCCTTGGAGCTGGGTCTCACAAAGCAGGCAAGAGTCTGGCAGGCGAGGGAGAGGAAAGGATCGCGATACCTGGCCAAGGGTGAGGACCGTGGTAGCTGGAACCTAAGAGGAGGATCTGAGCTCCAGGAAAGCAGTTGGGTGTTGGGAAAGGAATTCTGGCAGGAAGATGCTGGAGCTGGAAGAACCACGCCTAGACCCAGGTCTGAGCATCTCCATTTCCTCAGCTAGGCTCCTCAACTCCCTAGGTTCCAGCCTCAGGGTAGGGTCACCAGAGCAGCCCAGCAGCTCCAGCTCAGACATATAAAGCCCACCTCCTCACCCGCTCCTGGTGAGCTCAGATTTCTGGTTTCCACTTCTATTCTCCCTCCTCTCCCTTTCTTCCGATAAAGAACTGTGGTTGTCTGGCTAATGAACTGAACACAGGACAGACCCCACCTACCCTCAATCAACCCTTGCCCCTCCCACCCCCCAGCAAAGAAGACCCAATCTACCCCTAGAAAGAAATTAGACTATCCTCCTTCCCTTCACCACCCCTCCCGCTCAAGTCCTCTCCACCCTCAGGACCCTGGACCCAGTGTGCATTCCTTCCCTTATTCCTTCAACCTTGACAAGTGCACCTTGGTCAGGGGAAGAGAGGCTGCTGGTTAGAGATCTTGGCTGTGCTCATAATGATTTGCACAGGTTCCTAGGCCAGGGCAGATGTGGGCAAAAGCTAAGCTCAACTCACAGGTCCTCTACCAAAGCAGAGTCCACCCCCTCCAGCTTGTCTGAGGCTCACCCCTCCGTGTGGGGCAAGGAATCTCTCCTCCCCCCAACACCGCAGACCCCCCTCCCTCCAACAATGTTCCAGGCCTCCGGGTTTCAGGTTAGAAGGGACAGAGGGCCTCCCTTCTCTCCCGCTCTCTCCCTCCCGACTCGGTCAGCGCCCCTGGCCTCCTGGAGCGCCTCCAGCTTGCGCAAGACCCACTGCAGCCTCCTCCCGTCGGATCAGAGTTCCCACTCTAGGGGTGTCCACCACCCGTACCCCTACGGTCCCACAGAAAAGCACGCCAAACCCCGACCCCTCCCTCTCCCACTCCCTTTTTAGAGGAGCCCGGGGCGAACCTGGGGAACAGACGCAACAGATTGCAGAAAGCTAGAGCTCGAAGCCCGCTCCCTCCGAGAGCTGCCTGCGGCCCCAGCCCGCGCCCGCTGCCCAGACCCCGCCTTTCCGGCACTGCTAAGGCGGCGATTTAGATGCAGCTCACAGGACGGCGGGCGGGCAAGAGCCGCCGCTGCTCCCCTGGCTCCTGTCAGTCCACTTCCCTTCCCGGGGACCGCCGCAGGAAGCGAGACGGCCGGCAGCGCGGCCCCGCACCAGCCTGTGCGCTAGGGGCGGGGAAGACACGATCCCCGCGGATCGCAACAGCCCCCAGCCCCTTCGGCTGCAGTGGAAGAAGTGGCAGAAGGGGCTGCCGAGACGCGATCTGGCGGATCCCTCAGATCCCTCCAGATTCCTGTGGGCGGTCACGCCCCCAGACTCGCAGGTTTGGCCGCCGCCGCCACCACCACAATCACACACACACTCCCTTTTTCTGGGCTGGGATCGGACCCCCGGGCGGGGCCACTACCTCGGCTCCAGAGGAAGGGCTGGGGGCTGTTGGTAACTCGAGCTGCGGCCCCAGATACCAAGCGGGGAACGGAGGCTGCGTGTGTGTGTGTGTGTGTGTGTGTGT